AAATCTCTTTAAACTTCATACTATGTCAGTGAATGATGAAAATATGCATTAAAACAAAATTTTCATATTTTCTAATTTTTCTCAAAATATGTGGGTTAATCCCTACAGAAAATTGAGTTTTCGATAAATATATTAAGAAGTTTAGACTCTTTATTGTTGATGAAAATTAACCACTCACATTCTAAATTTGCTTTAATTTATGTTAAAATTATTTTCATTGCACATGGACATCATTTCAAGTTTTACAACAGGTAGTTTATTTAAATTTCATATACCACTTAATTAATAGACAAACCCCCTATAAAATAAATTCTATTTTCTGGAGAAAGATGAACACCTAAGGTCTCAAACATCTTTAACCTTCATACTACGTCAGTGAATGATGAAAATATGCATTAAAACAAAATTTTCATATTTTCTATTTTTTCTTGAATATGTGGGTTAACCCCTACGAAAAGATTGAGTTTTTCAATAAATGCTTTATATACTAAAGTTTAACCTCTTTCGTGCTATAAAACATACCTAACCACATTCAAAACTTATATTAATGTATGATAACCTTATAGACCTAGTACATGGAAATCATTTCTAATTTTCCAACATAGAATTTATTTAAATTTCATACCACTTAATCAGTGAAAAAACCCCCAATAAAATAAATTCTATTTTTTGGAGAAACATGAACACCTAAGGTCTCAAACCTCTTTAACCTTCATACTATGTCAGTGAATGATGCAAATATGCATTAAAACAAAATTTTCATATTTTCTAATTTTTCTTGAAATATAAGGGTTAACCCTTACGAAAAGATTAAGGTTTTCAATAAATGCTATATATATTAAAGTTTAGCCTCTTTCGTGCTATTAAAAAATACCTAACCACACTAAAAACTTATATTAATGTATCATAAGCTTATTTATCTAGTACATGGACATCATTTATAATTTCCAACATATAATTTATTTAAATTTCCTACCACTTAATAAGTGGACAAATACACTATAAAAAAAATCTATTGTTTGGATAAACATGAACACCTAAGGTCTCAAACCTCTTAACCTTCATACTATGTCAGTGAAAGATGCAACTATGCATTAAAACAAAATTTTTCATATTTTCTACTTTTTCTCGAAATATGTGACTTAACCCCCACATAAATTTTAGATTTTGGATAAATGCTATATTAAAAAGTTTAGGCTCTTTATTGTTGATGAAAATTAACCAATAAGAATCTAATTTTGTATTAATGTATGTTAAAGTAATTTTCTTGGTACACGGATATCATTTCAAGTTTTATAACATGTAGTTATTTAAATTTCATATACCACTTAATCAGTTGACAAACTCCCTATAAAAATAATTCTATTTTCTGGAGAAACATGAACACCTAAGGTCTCAAACTTCTTTAATCCTCATACTATGTCACTGAATGATGAAAATATGCATAAATAAAATTTTCATATTTTCTATTTTTTCTTGAAATATGTGGGTTAACCCCTACGAAAAAAATGAATTTTCCAATAAATGCTATATATACTAAAGTTTAGCCTCTTTCATGCTATTAAAAACTACATAACCACACTGAAAACTTATATTAATGTATGATAAGCTTATTAACCTAGTACATGGAACTCATTTCAAATTTTATAACAGGTAATTTATTTAATTTCATATACCACTTAATCAGTGGACAAACTCCCTATAAAAGATTAACTATTTTTTGGAGAAACATGAACACCTAAGGTCTCAAACCTCTTTAACCCTCATACTATGTCAGTGAATGATGAAAAAATGCATTAAAAGAAAAATTTTATATTTTCTAATTTTTCTCAAAATATGTGGGTTAACTCTTACAGAAAATCGAGTGTTCGATAAATGCTATATTAAAAAGTTTAGGCTCTTTATTGTTGATGAAAATTAACCAATCATAATCTAATTTTGTATTAATGTATGTTAAAGTAATTTTTTTGGTACACGGATATCATTTCAAGTTTTACAACAGGTAGTTATTTAAATTTCATATACCACTTAATCAGTGGTCAAACTCCCAATAAAAAATATTCTATTTTCTGGAGAAACATGAATACCTAAGGTCTCAAACCTCTTTAATCCTCATACTATGTCAGTGAATGATGCAAATATGCATTAAAATAAAATTTTCCTATTTTCTATTTTTTTCTTGAAATATGTGGGTTAACCTCTACGAAAAAAATGAGTTTTCCAATAAATGCTATATATACTAAAGTTTAGCCTCTTTCATGCTATTAAAAACTACATAACCACACTCAAAACTTATATTAATGTATGATAAGCTTATTAACCTAGTACATCGACATCAATTCAAATTTTCTAACATGTAATTTATTTAAATTTCATATATCACTTAATCAGTGGACAAACCCCCTATAAAATAAATTCTAGTTTTTGGAGAAACATGAACACCTAAGGTCTCAAACCTCTTTAACCTTCATACTATGTCAGTGAATGATGCAAATATGCATTAAAATAAAAATAAAAGTTTTCTAATTTTTCTCGAAATATGTGAGTTAACGCCTATGAAAAGATGAAGTTTTTCAATAAATGCTATATATACTAAAGTTTAGCCTCTTTCGTGCTATTAAAAAAATACCTAACCACACACAAAATTATACTAATGTATGATAAGCTTATTTACCTAGTATGTGGACATCATTTTTATTTTTCCAACATGTAACTTACTTAAATTTCCTACCACTTAATCGGTAGACGAACCCCCTATAAAAAAAATTCTATTTTTTTGGATAAATATATGAACACTTAAGGTCTCAAACCTCTTTAACCTTCATACTATGTCAGTGAATATGCATTAAAAAATTCACATTTTTAATTTTTCTCGAAATATTTGAGTTAGCTCCCACATAAAATCTAGTTTTTAAATAAATGCTATATTAAAAAGTTTAGGCTCTTTATTGTTGATGAAAATTAACCAATCACAATCTAATTTTGTATTAATGTATGTTGAAATAATTTTCTTGGTACACGGATATCATAAGTTTTACAACAGGTAGTTATTTAAATTTCATATACCACTTAATCAGTGGACAAACTCCTTATAAAAGATATTCTATTTTCTAGATAAACATGAACACCTAAGGTCTCAAACCTCTTTAATCCTAATACTATGTCAGTTGATGATGCAAATATGCATTAAAATAAAATTTTCATATTTTCTATTTTTTCTTGAAATATGTGGGTCCCTACGGAAAAAAATGAGTTTTCCAATAAATGCTATTTATACTAAAGTTTAGCCTCTTTCATGCTATTAAAAACTACATAACCACACTCAAAACTTATATTAATGTATAATAAGCTTATTAACCTAGTACATGGACATCATTTCAAATTTTCTAACAAGTAATTTATTTAAATTTCATATACCACTTAATCAGTGGACAAACCCCCTATAAAAAAAATTCTATTAAACATGAACACCTAAGCTCTCAAACCTCTTTAACCTTCATACTATGTCAGTGAATGATGAAAATATGCATCAAAACAAAATTTTCATATTTTCTATTTTTTCTCAAAATATGTGGGTTAACCCCTACAGAAAATCGAGTTTTCGATAAATGCTATATTAAGAAGTTTAGGCTCTTTATTGTTGATGACAATTAGCCAATCACATTCTAAATTTGTATTAATGTATGTTAAAATTATTTTCATGGTACATGGACATCATTTCAAATTTTCCAACAGGTAATTTAGTTAAATTTCATATACCACTTAATCAGTGGACAAACTCCCAATAAATGAAATTCTATTTTCTGGAGAAACATGAACACCTAAGGTCTCAAACCTCTTTAACCTTCATACCATATCAGTGAATGATGCAAATATGCATTAAAACAAAAATTTCATATTTTTTTACTTTTTCTCGAAATTTGTGAGTTAACCCCTATAGAAAATCTAGTTTTTCGATAAATGCTATATTAAAAAGTTTAGGTTCTTTATTATTTATGAAAATTAACCAATCACATTTGAAATTTTTATTAATTTATGTTGAAATTATTTTCATGGTACACGTACATCATTTCAAGTTTTACAACAGGTAGTTTCTTTAAATTTCATATAACACATAATTAGTGGACAAACCCCCTATAAACAAAATTCTATTTTCTGGAGAAACATGAACACCTAAGGTCTCAAACCTCTTTAACATTCATACTATGTCAGTGAATGACGAAAATATGCATTAAAACAAAATTTTCATATTTTCTAATTTTCTCAAAATATGTGGGTTAATCCCTACAGAAATCAAGTTTTTCGATAAATGCTATATTAAGAAGTTTAGGCTCTTTATTGTTGATGAAAATTAACCAATCACATTCTAAATTTGTTTTAATGTATGTTGAAATGATTTTCATGGTACACGGACATCATTTCAAGTTTTACAACATGTAGTTTATTTAAATTTCATATACCACATTATTAGTGGACAAACCCCCTATAAACAAAATTCTATTTACTGGAGAAACATGGTAATCTAAGGTCTCAAACCCCTTTAACCGTCATACTATGTCAGTGAATGATGCAAATATGCATTAAAACAAAATTTTCATATTTTCTAATTTCTTACAAAATATGTGGGTTAACCCCTACACAAAATCAAAATTTTTTGATAAATACTATATTAAAAAGTTTAGGCTCTCTATTGTTGATGAAAATTACCCAATCACATTCTTAATTTGTATTAATGTATATTAAAATTATTTTCATGTTACATGAACATCATTTCAAATTTTCTATAGAGATCATGAATATGTTCAACGGAATTCAAATAAAATAAGAAAAAAGGAAAAAGCAACAGTTATTTGGAGTGAGACTTCAGGCACATTAGGTGAATATGTTCAACGGAATTCAAATAAAATTTTGTATTATATATTTAGTCAAGGAACTAATAGCCAGCGTTATTTGAGACTTGTGGAAGTCAAATAACAATGACGCTAATACATTCGTTAAAAGAAAACAATGACGTTAATACATCAATTATATCAGTGACTAATATATCTAGTTTCCCATTCAGTAACTACTCTACATTCGCCGTGTATTAGCACAAGATGAAATATCAATTATGAAGTCAATAATACCCATTTAATCCAAACGGACACGAAAAATAAAGTTACGAACTTACGAATCAATTACATGGAACGTAAAGTTAGAAATACATGAAAACCCTATAAAACGATTAAACTAATTCTTTTTTTTTTGTCCTCATTGGTGTGATAAATAATTAGAGAACTATGCACAAAATCCTCCTAATTAATCATCAAATCTTTACTTTCCACCCTAAATAGACATTTCAATATTTGACTTTTGACCGAGCCAGTCAACACAGGGAAGAGGAAGAGGAAATTGTCATCCGTGACTGGCTTCTCGGAGCTGTCCCCTCCTTGACGGCATTATCTGTTGCATCAGTCGCACGTTCACACCGAGGACACATGGTTAAAACTGAGGCTGGCACTGGCTTTAGAGCTCGTAGTTCTTCAACTTCTTTTTGTAGAAGTTGATTTTGCTCCTTCAATGACCCAAAGCATCTCTTTAGATACTCACATTCCATCTCCGTATGCTTGAGCTTACTCCTATATATCAAATTTGGTGTAACCATGATATTGGTTGATATGAGCTGTGCGTACTATTAAATATGCATACGTGCGACATTTGTAGTTTTTAGGTTTTATCTTACACCAACCATATGCTTGAGCTTACTTTATGAACATGCAACATGTATCTCGTTACTATGCAAGTATGCATGCACTGATACACATCTGTACGTATATACACATTCATGTGATGTACCATGTACATATGAATATATATATGTACACATAAGTATATACATACAGAAAACATTGTTTAAAAAGTGTATGTGGGCAGTGTGTAAGTTTATGTTTCATTAAAGTAATATGCATATTTTATAGGACAAACATCATAATTGTGGACTGGACAAAGATGGCTAAAAGAAATAAACACATTATTAACTGTCTCTAACTTTGTCCCTTGTGTTCCCTAACGCTTTTTTTCTTGTTGATGGATTTATTAGATTCTATATTTCTGATTTTAATCACGGGGCATTTATATAGACACGTAGCACAAAAAAATAAGAGTACATGCTTTTTCATGTGCCGAATAGAATGCGTGATAACTATATGTGTGGGAATCAACGTGAAACACTTGGATAAAAGTGGATCACTTCTACTTAACTCTATTTTTCTAAACTATCAATGTATATATGGTTAATAATATTTAGAATCTAAGTTACGATTACACACGATCTCTTTATATTATAAATATTCTGTCAACGCACTCTCATTAATTAATATATTCTCAACCACTATAAAACATAGTTCCAGAAAGCCTACATATATAACATGCCTCACCGTATATGTATACATAAGCTATATTCTATAAGATATATAAATCGTATTTTCCTCAATTTATATGTATTATGAACTATGCAATATACGAAAACCGGTAGATTGAAGGACGTACCTAGCTCGTCGATTTTGAAACCACACCTCAACTTGCCTTTGACTAAGCTTCAAAAAAGTGGCCAATTCTAGTTTTTGTTTCTGTAATTTCATTATTATACAACCAAAACATAATCAGCCGACTTGATGATCAGAAAAAATAACTCTTTTTTTCTTTTTTTCTTTTTAACGTAAACAAAACATATAAATCATAAAAGTGTATAATACATATACTTACAGAGGTTAAGGTATGATTTTGTGTGAAACTCTCTTCAAGAAGATGTGATTGCTCTTTAGTTAGACGGAGCTTTTTGCGCCGCCGGTCGCCGGAGTTGCTATCTTCTTCGTTGGCATGCGTTGCTGCACCGATCATGATCCGCTCATGATCTTCTTCCTCCGTCTTTGGAGTTTGATTTATGTCAAAATCTCTCACCATGTGCTCACCTACCAAAATATATTATATATTTTGATCTTTTTTCAGAGACATATTTTTTACGACTCTGTATAATAACTTTTTAGGCGAATAAAAAACCTAAATAATATAGAGAGGGAGATGACCTTAATATCAATCTTTGGATCTTACCAGATGAAGGGTGTGAAGAAGATTGAGAGAAGCTTGGAAGTGATATTGATAATTCTAAAGAGCTTGAGTTAGGTGAGACGGCCATAGAGGATGGATCAATATAATTTTATTTTTTTTATCAATAGAACTTGGTGAGGAGAAGATAGTTTTTTTGGAAGAGGAAAGGTAAAGTTGAAGTTTTATATGATAATAAGAATGTTGGTGTGTGTCTCTGTGTAGATACACTATATACTCATGTGAAAGAACAAAAGAAAAAAGGCCAGACAAGGTGAAAGATTTTGTAATAAGCGTGGAATATGGAATAAGGGATTGAGCATGATATACTAATCAAATCTCAAGAAAATAAAGTCTTCAAGACACGACAAATGATAAAAGTTTCAAGTAGGTCAAATGAAGGAACATAAATTAAGGGAGAAAATAAATGGCAGTGTAAGTTGCTCGAATAATACAAAAGAAAGGAATATAATAAAAGGAATGAGATGTGTTTATGTGTAATTGGTGGATTTAGCGAGAAAATAATGGGGTTTGACTAGGGTCGTCAAGTCAAACCATATTCGTATGAATATGATCAGTTTATTACGTGTTTTACCAGTTTTAATTTTGGAGTTATTAAATTCATTATTTCTTTGTGTAGGACAATAACGGATTGGTAAAGTGTTGTTTTCTTTGCGTTGAACGTTAGGAATATAATAATCTTAGATAACGAGAATGGTCTAATTAAAGCTTAAATGAACCTTGTTGTTTGCATGTTGAAACCGTATAGATTAATACCGTAATAATTACAAATAATATTTAGTCAAACAAATGAAACAGTAATTACAAATAATAAGATTTTCGATACATTTGTGTAACTCTGATTCAAACCTTTTTTCTTGGTAAGAAGAGATAGTTTTAAAAATCAAAATTTTAAAAGAATAACTCTATAACATGAGTGTTCTTAGTCTAGTGGCATGACATACATTTGATTTACGTATCAAAAGCAACACTATTTTTTACAAAAAAAAACTCTGAGGCAGTGGAAAGTTATGAATCTGAGATCGAGACTTTAAATTTTTAACTGCTTAAATTTTAATCATTTACCATTCAGATATAACAAAGAAACTACTTTAAAATCATTTGAAAAATTTGAAAATATAAAAGTGTAACATGGTTGGTTATTTGACTGATATGTATATATAGTTGCCTCTATGTATATAGAGTTTTTTTTTGACAAACTCTATGTATATATAGTTGCCTCTGCATGTATTTATACAATAAATTTGACTATTAGGCTGCTTGTTAGGTGAACAATTACAATACTTTAATGACTAAGATGAGTCCAATAAAGGGCGATAGGCCAATAATATCATTAACTTGTACGTATAAAAGATAGTCAAAAATTCGTTTATAGTGCGTATCCATAGTACATGTATTACTATTAAGTATAACCAGACACATATTTCAGGTTTATTCATTAAAAAAATTAACTTAGCTATTTTATGTAAGATTTAATGATATGTACTTTACGGATTGGGCGACAATTAACGCGTTATAATTGGCATGCATGACACAAGATTTCCTGAATGTCTTTTACTTATTGGCTCTTCCAAAACATCAATGCCTTTCGGCTTTTGCAACCAAAGTGGAGTTGTTAGGGGCCCTACTACCTGCTTTTGGTTTCTTTAGCCGACATTGATCCGGTTTAATATTTTCCTCCGGTTCTATTGAATAATGTCTTCCTTCCCGGTCAAGTAAATTGGTTCGTTGAAGAATCTAACATAAAGGAACAAAGATACATGTTCTCTTTAAAGATTACTAGCAACTTGTTTTGGTTCCATAATACATTGAACTATTGAAGATAAGAATGACCACAATAGCTAGTAACTAACTAGTTAAGTCGGCTGATTAATAAGCTCAGTGAAACACATATATATGGCAGTAGCTCCACAACTACTGAAGAAGCTTGTTGCAAGTTCCAACGCCAATGGCTGCAGCGAGATGCCAACATGCGTGAATGAATGGTGTTTTGGTGAAAAGATCGGCAGCTATAAACAAAGCTCACCCAAAAACGTAGACATCTTGTGTATGTTATGAGCCGTTTTCAAATCTGGATGCTTTAAAGCTCTTTTCGAAAATGTTACCTAGAGTGAAAGTCCAACTTTGAGTTTATATTTGCATCAAACTGAGATTTTAGTACATTAACTTTAAAGTTGATGAGATGCCTCCATCATCATACCAGTGTGAATAGCTGAAACCATGGTAAGGCCAAAGCTGATGCAGCCATCAGGAACTTTGGATTCGCTTCCCTAAGAGCCCTAGATAGACTGTAAAAATATTACACTTAGTCTTGTAAACTATAGTTTCAACTGTGTAAAATGAGATATTCGCAACTTACTAAATGAGACTCTGCTTTGTTCCTACATATGAGGAATGAAAGGAGAATGGAGAATGAAACACCACATGAACCCCATGGAGACTTTCAATACCACTATCCAATGTTTAAGAAATCACCGCGTTTTATATGAGATTATTGATTAGTCAGGTAACTAGGGCGCCTAGACCAATTTTTTGAACACCACACTATCTCAGGGGAAATAGCTTCAACAATGCATAGATCCTGGGATTGAATTCATCAGGAAATGATCAGTATTCACACGTAATGACGTAAGTGTGCACACTTTGGAATTCGAGAATCATCATTCATGAAACAAATTAGCAGTTTCAAAAGTATAATTGTTCCAGGAGAAACAGAGACGAAGCAGATTCAACAATACATGCAGATTTTGCTAAGCTATAGGCGAGATTTGAGGGAAGCAAACAAACCTTGCTACGTAGAGAGATCGAAGTCTAGGCACTCGGTTGATACAATAACAGTCACGAATCTTCTTTGACTCTTTTATGGCATATTTTCCAATCATAACACTCGTACCGGACCCCGGTTTAATTCCTTTCTGTTTTTTTTTTCAGTCTCAGATATGGGCCGGTTGAGCCCAGTGTTTGTTGCTCTACGGGGTTGGCAAATTATAATTTTTGACTAGTTTATATAGGATGGAAAATTATTTCTTACAAACAGTCTTGAAATAGTTTTATCCGGGTAAAACTATCAAACACTATTATAGTACAATTTCAAATTTTCATCATGTATATTACTAAAGTTTCTATATAAAATTATACTAACTAAAAATAATTATGGTGGGTAACTGCCCCACCCACTCCCCATCTAGCCTTGCCCTTGCATATACAAACTATATATAGATGTTTCTTTTTGTCCCAAAAAAAATATAGATGTTTCTTTTTAATTGTTTTGCTTAAGTTATAATGAAAATTTTAAATATTTTGATTAGATGATAATTGTATTTGTGTTGTAAAATAAAGTTTGATATCACACATATACTTTTAAAATTAAATATTGATAAACATTTTAATTTAATAATTTAAAGACTTGTAGATTTGACCAAAAAAAGACTATTAGATTTCTAAATTAATTCTTTCAAATTAGTGGACAAAATCCAATGTTTATCAAGGTTTACCAAAGACATGTCTACGCAAATACAATTATCCTCTAATTAAAATAATGTCTAGGCAAATTTTACAAAATCCCCAATTTTTCTACTTTCTCAAATTTTACTAAAACAATCAAAGTCAATAGTTTTTGTAACATTAACTAGTTTCTATTCATGGCTACGCCCAAAGAAGAAAAGAGCTAGATAGCTACTGGTGTGCCAATATTAATGAGAACACACATTCTTATGAAATGAAATAGGTAAAGCAAATGGTGTTGAATTCATTAATGAATGTCTTCGACCGATACTTAAAGTTATTATAGCTATAGAATCTTTGAGAGTTCTTAAAACGTAGCAAAATTAAGACCGTATTGTGTCACGATATATGTGAATTTGTTATAGTCAACTTTAATGTATCAAATTTTTTTAATCTCATCTACACTGTTCCTCGTGGAGTTTCTGACGTTGTTATCCGTTAGTTGACAAAATAAACCCAGTCTTGAATAGATTTTGTCTTTCCCCTCCCTTAATTTGAGATATATTGTTAGTCAAATTATTGTTGTTACTTTATTGGTGGGGTCCCTTAATATATGATACAAGCTGGAGACATCCACTGCATGCATGCATTTTACATAAATCATGTCAGCTAATTCATATTAAAAAACACCCCCTGTCAAAATGTATTGTGAACTTCGGCATGCATGAGTGATTTATGTATTGTGAACTTCCAAAATCTTGTTTACTAAGAAGTCGCCGTTCACTTGTAAGTTTGATCAAGTGGTGCGAAATCTAAAAATTTGAAAAGAAAATTAAACGAATGTGAACATTTATTGACGTGAGTGCGTATACAGAGATGAACGGGAAAGAAGAGATGCAGTGAGAGCAATAAAGAAGATGGACAGTGTCACAGCCCTGGCCTGACCATTTTGTCTTCTCCATGCATATGGTTTATAAAAAAGTGATATTAATCGGTCATTCAGTCCCATTATGTCATTCACTTACTATAAATAAAATGTTAAAACTTAAGAAGAAAGTTTAGCCAAAAAAGAGTTTAGAAGAAAATGCAAGATAGAGTGATTGATGAAGCCATATCTTATAAAATCAGTCAACAATACAAGGCCAGAGAGAAATATGTACGATATGAATAAAGTTATAGAACTATTTAATTATATAACCTTTTCATTCATCTCTCACTGAATGAGAACATTACTGGAAGAGGTTTCACATTTTGTTCTTGCTCTGGGACAGTAAATTACATTAATTAATACGAAAGGGTATTCTTTATTACAAATGCTTTAAGCTTTTGTGGATTCAGAGAATAATTATTTCAACTAGATTGTACTACTATCCCATTTGAACCCTTAGTTAAAACCATTAATTTTCCTATTAACGAATGGATAACGACTGAATTCGAAGATGTATGGTATATAATATATTAACGTTCGATGGTAGTATAGTCCCTCGAGACAACGGCTGTAAGCATGTAACTGGTTGCCATTAAGATTTCAGGTTCCACTTTTTCATACTAAAAACTAGTTTGATATACAACTATATCGTTGAGTTTTCTAATTGAACATAATCATAGTGCTAACTAACGTTGAGATGGACACGATCTATTGTTCGCTTTGCGGTCAAATAAATAGTCATGATGAGTAGTAGTTGATTTATCTAATCTCTACTTTTTGGAAATAATACTAGTAGGGTGCACAAAAAAAAGTAACACTAGTATGAAAGAACTATTCATACGAACTCAAATGGTAGGGGTAGGTGTATGAGACGCAAGAGCTAAAACCATAGCATGTTCATTAAGTATGACTTATGAATGAAAGATAACACTGTTCTTCTGAAACAGAAGAACATTATAAAGTTATAATCGTTAGTAAATACATAACCAATTCACAGTTTTTCTTTATTTCTATGAAGAATAAGATAACTTAATCTCCTTATAAGACTTGCAACAACAAAAATCACCCAGGGGTCATTTTAGTTTTAAATGGAATTGAAATTAAGGCATGATTGTGTTATCTTTAAGTTCTTAATACTAACATTCATAGAGTTCCCCATAAACGAACTAAATCCTACACTAAAAAAAATAAATGTTTCTATGCTCTGAAATACAAAAAGAAAAAAAAGGCTTCTAACTTACAAAATCTATGACAAACCTTATTTTACAGCGAAGGCACTTTTCTATAGCGTTCAGCGTTTGCGTCTAGCGTTTTGCATGTAGTCTTCGTAGGGTGGGTGTGGAGGGTAATTGATAATACTAGCTACACGTAAAAGTTAGTTGTGGAGAGGATTGGGACCCGTGCGAACTACTCTCTTGTCGTCTCCATAAATGTTATCTTCTCTGCTCAACGGCCCACGAAACGGCGTCGTTACGTACACCAAAGTCTTTCTCGGCGGTGACGAGATGAAGTGACGACGAGAAGCAACATAAGCTGATGAAGAATAGCTTATCTGAAACATGACAAATAAGAAGAAGAAACAAATGGTCTTCACGTCCCATCTTTTAAGTTTCTTTCCTTGTGTCTCTCGTCGTACCAACACTTGAGTCATCTTAGAGAAACAAGAAACAGACGAACATGAAAACAAACAAACAAACCAACTCGAAGCAAAGAGAAGATCGAAAGAAGAAGAAAAGTTTTTGGACAACTTTTTGTGTTGTGGGTAAAAGTATAGAGTTTTGAATTGTACCCACATTAATGAACCCCTCCTTAAGGGTTCATAGAAATAAAAAATTAAATTTTTTTTTTTATTTTCGTTTGCTTTTAGAAAAAAAAAAAATTAATTTTGGACCAATCATATGTTGACACGTGGTGAACCCAGGGTCATCGGGGTTCACCGCGGTGAACTTTTGAAAGAGGGGTTCATAGAAATCTGATTTTAATATTATTATTTTTTCTCGGTTTCCGTGTGAACTCCCCCCCCATCAACCCTTGATGGGGGTGCTCTAATAGTGTTTATTTAGGTGATGGGTCTTCGGATCCTTCTAAGATCTGAACTGTTGTTTCCTCTAAAAGGCAAAAGCTTTTACAAGAATTCTCTATTCTTCTCTCTCTTTTTGTCTCGGAAGTCGTAAGCAAAGAGAGAGTGTTTGTGTGTGTGGTCTGTATGTGAAAGTACGACAGGCGGTATTAATAACGGCTGTCACCTCTTTGTGTTAATTCGAGGGAAGAGTCTTCGAAAGCGCTCTCTTCTTTTTACTGTTTTTCTTCACTTTTTTTTTGTTTTCTTTTTCAATCAAAACTAATTTCATAATCTGTGAATTTTGACGTACTAATGATTACTAATTTCATAATTTGTGAATTTTGACGTACAAATGATGATTTGAACAAAAAACAGAAGTACTAATGATTGTGATTAGGGTTTTTCTTGCTAATCTCGATGGGTACTTCTGTTTGTCATGGTGTAACACATTGACCAATGACCAATGTTATTTTTTTTTTAAACTAAGGCTCACATTGACCAATGTTATTCGGAGGCTTTGACTTTGTGGGTTAAGACAGCTCATTCTGTTTATAAATAAAGTTATATTTTAGCACCCTACCTTTTTGTTAGGTTTTGCGGTCAACGTAGATGATATTTGGACTTGTATTCTATTGAACCATATACTCTGATTTTTAAATCAATTTTATAATACTCAGATTATGTTACTGTATTCAGTTTTTAGATGATACACCCAACTAATTATACAATCCATGCCCACCTCTTACAAGTTTCCTCTGTATAGGGTTAAAGGGAATGATTTTCATCCAGATGACATCAAAAATATGTGATGCGAGGTATGATCGACAAACAGGTATACTTTTTGTTGGATCATCTGCCCATCTTCCATAATGGTGGTTCCCACGCTCTTAGTCCATCATGTTTTGGGGCCTAAAGCCCAAAATCACTGATCCAATCTGTAAAAATATTTTTGTCTTTGAACCGGTACACCAACTAGAGCTAAGAAAAGAATAATTGAGAGCGAAAGGATCGACGTGAATGTTGCGAGTGATGAATAATATCAAATACAAATCACTTTGTAACTTGACAGGATAATAGCAAAATATTGGGCAGGTGAATTATTAGTACGGGATCCTGGTCACCATGGGGTCACAAAATGTTAACATGAAAGTAATATTGGGTGTTGGGTAATTCCAAGTTTGTGGAAACTTAACATATTATTAGATGTTTAATATGTTAAGAGATAAACACAATAAGGAAATCTAGAAATAGGAAAAGGAAGTTTTCTATTAGATTAGGTTTGTGTTTTCTATTTCCCACATGTTCAAGGGAATTATCTTGCATATAAATAGAGATCTATGGAGAGGTGTTCCATAAGATCTAAGAGAGTAGATCATAAGAGATCTAAGAGAAACATTGTGAGCTTTAGTTTTGAGTAGTTTCTAAAGCTAATAAGAAAAGTTGTTCTTATAATTCTTTGTTTCTAGAGATTTGAATTGGTATCAGAGCTTCTCAGGTTGGAGACTCGATCTAAGCTTAAGGTGAAGCTTCGATCCTGGTGCTTGTGACCAAGAGTACACGCGAGCAAGATGGCGGACGTGACTAGGGCTCCACGCACGAAGGACCTTGGAACTACATCCATCCAATGTCCTATGTTGTCATCATCAAACTTTACCGTTTGGTCGATGAGGATGAAGGTTATGATGCGTGTTCATGAAGTACGTGGCACGATAGAACCTGGTTCAGATTATCAAAAGAAGAACGATGTTGCGATTTCTCTTTTGTTTCAATCCACTTCTGGAAACTTGATTCTTCAGGTGGGAGAACAAGTAGCTTCCGAAAGCTTGATTCTCCAGGTGGGAGAACAAGCCGCTTCNCCTGGTTCAGATTATCAAAAGAAGAACGATGTTGCGATTTCTCTTTTGTTTCAATCCACTTCTGGAAACTTGATTCTTCAGGTGGGAGAACAAGTAGCTTCCGAAAGCTTGATTCTCCAGGTGGGAGAACAAGCCGCTTCTAAAGACATATGTAACGCCATCAGGTCACGACACCTTGGAGCTGTTCGTGTAAGGAGGGCGAGACTTCAGACGTTAGTCAAAAGAATGTCGAGTGTAACACATGAAGAAGGCGTGTGTGACACAGTGAAGCATATCATACACTCATTCCCGAGTGTAACACACAAAGAAGGCGTGTGTGACGCAGTGAAGCAAAACAGACACTCATTACTGAGTGTAACACACGGAGATGTCGTGTGTAACGCATGTCTAACAGAGAAGCAAATTAGACATGAATTCTCGGTTATACTATTGAAGAAGAATCATGAGGTATTCGATCGGTTCAAAAGGTTGAAGGAACCCATCAGAACCTTTCTCACCGATAGAGGAGGAGAGTTTGCCTCAGCTAAATCCAATCTAGGCTGCATCGATAGAGGAGGAGAGTTTACCTCAGCTGAGTTGAAGATGCCAAACTACTTATGGGTTGAAGATATGGTAGCCGAGATGGAAGCTATCACAAGAATCAAAACGTGGGAGCTTCTAGCCGAGATGGAAGATATCACAAGAAGCAAGACGTGGGAGCTTGTAGATAGACCGGCTGCTAAACCTACATGGTTAAGGTGGATTGACAAGATTCAAGGAGCAGATGAAATCAAGATAAAGGAGGAGAGTCATGCTCAAGGAATCTGGTGTGACATAGATATTGAAGTGTGTAACACGACTCAAGTTCCAATGAAGTCGAGTTACAAGTTGTCAAAAGCTGGAGATGAACCAGAGATATTTGTTCAAGGAATCATGTGTGACACACAGATGGAAGCATGTGACACAACACATGTACCAGTGGAGCATGTGGTTAGACCGACTGGTGTTAAACATACAGAGGTATGTAACACAAAGATGGAAACGTGTAACACTACTCATGCAGGAGTATGTGATACACAGATGGAGACGTGTAACACAACTCACGTACACAAGATGGTGGACGTGACCAGAGCGAGTTTCAGCTGCAAGACTCATCACAACTTAAGTGAAGAGGTCAGGAGAAGGTTCTACAAGAACTGTGCCAATTCTAAGAAGAGGCGATACAAAAGTGAGGAAAGCATCCAGTCTAACCTTGAGAAAGATGTGAATACAATGGGTGGATTCGCATACTATCGTGTGGTGATGGATGATTACTTGAGGATTAAGTTCAAGCAAACGAGGAGCTTAATCGGAGTTCAAGAAATTGATCTCCCTAATTCAAATTGGAATTAAGGGGGTGATTGTTGGGTAATTCCAAGTTTGTGGAAACTTAACATATTATTAGATGTTTAATATGTTAAGAGATAAACACAATAAGGAAATCTAGAAATAGGAAAAGGAAGTTTTCTATTAGATTAGGTTTGTGTTTTCTATTTCCCACATGTTCAAGGGAATTATCTTGCATATAAATAGAGATCTATGGAGAGGTGTTCCATAAGATCTAAGAGAGTAGATCATAAGAGATCTAAGAGAAACATTGTGAGCTTTAGTTTTGAGTAGTTTCTAAAGCTAATAAGAAAAGTTGTTCTTATAATTCTTTGTTTCTAGAGATTTGATTGGGCAGGTGAATTATTACTCTCACTCATTCCTCTACATATAGAGGCTAAAGAACTCACAAGATAACTCACTCCTCTCCTACAAAACTAAACGTTTTCTTTTCTCAAAGCAAGCAAAAAGATCATGGCTGAAGCGTCTACTTTGGTGGGGAAGCTTGAGACAGATGTGGAGATCAAAGCTTCTGCTGGAAAGTTCCATCACATGTTCGCAGGAAGACCACACCATGTGTCCAAAGCAACTCCAGGCAACATTCAGAACTGTGAGCTACACGAAGGTGATTGGGGCAAAGTCGGTTCAATCGTCATCTGGAACTACGTTCATGGCAAGCCAACTTTACATATAATTTATTTTTATAACACATACAATCATATAGACTAAACACATATCACAAATATTGGTTAACAAGTACAATGAGTACTACTACAGTAATTACGTTATTTATACACGTTGATTCGTCCAAATCTATGTAAATAAAGTTTAACAATTGGTGCAGATGGAGAGGCAAAGGTGGCTAAGGAGAGGGTCGAGGCGGTGGAGCCAGAGAAGAACCTGATCACGTTTAGGGTTATAGATGGTGATCTGATGAAAGAGTACAAAAGCTTCTTGCTCACGATCCAAGTGACCCCCAAGCATGGAGGGCCTGGTAGTGTTGTGCACTGGCACCTTGAGTACGAGAAAATTAGCGATGAGGTTGCTCACCCTGAAACTCTCCTCCAGTTCTGTGTTGAAATCTCAAAAGAGATTGATGAACATCTCTTGAACGAAGAATAGAGGATCACTCCTCGTGTGTGTATGTGTGGCCTCTTTCAGTATATGATGAAACTGAAATAAATAATGTGCCACTGTCCTAGTTTGGATAAGATATGTTGGTGTGTGTCTAGCATGTATGCATAATACTATGGTCGAGATATGTTTGAAGTTCTTAATTTGAATCGGAGTGTAATAGAAGTCAAGCTACAAGGCTACTTGAAGTTTATTGACTTGAAAAAGTTTTATGCCAGCATATATCTAGTTTGGTTAATAATATAATATTTTATTTAATGTTACGAAAAATGTATCTCCACCTCTCTGCAACCTGATTTAATTAGGAATAAATAATACAAAATACATAGAGAGACAAATGCATATTTTACCCTTTTTTTTAATGACTAGAAAGTTTTGGACACATACATAGGTCCATACATCTCTCTAGGACGAGGCCCAGACCAATGTTAAATTAACTCTCCTTAGAAGAGCAGACCTCTCCCAATAGAAATCGAATTCATGTCCTCTTAAATCTCTACTTTTAGTATGAACAAGTATCGTCATATAATACTTGTATTTGAAATTCAGTCAATCATGCAAATAACATATATACGCTACACTACCAGCACAAGAGCTAGCTGAAGAGCATATTATATATGAAAAAAACATGATCAAGTTTTAACCAGTAACACCACTACCAATACACGGCAACATAGTAGGATTTAGAGAAATCCACTATGCAGTGGTTTTTCCAAAGAAGAATAGATTTAGGACAAAAAGAGTCTGTTTTATAGTTCCCGATTGCAAGAATGTAAAATCGAGAAAGCAAACATGACTTAAACTATGAATCAAAAACACTAGGTCTTGAAAAATCGAGAAATCTCAAGAAACATAGATGGAATGATATGATTATCCAACATGAAATGTATGAAGAACCGTTCTAAATTACAATCACTTAATTAGACTAGCATATTTCTGCATTTTAATCTTATGTATTAAAATCATAAAGACTAACTTTCGTTGAATTTCATATCCTAAACATGAAATAAGATCAAGTTTGATAGTTTACAAATACTTGATGATATCTCATCCATTTAACAAATAATCTAAAAAACAATAACACAAATTTGTTCTTAAAAATATTTTTTCCATGATGTATAAAATAAAATAAAATAAAAGATAAAAGATAAAAGAAGTAGTGGATTTATAGCACCATAATTTTTAGTATTTTTTTTTCTTCGTATCTTACGGATGTGGAGAAATACGAATATCCGATTTTCCGATTATCCAATTTTTTTTGACATTTGCGAATATTTATAGATATTTCATCTACTTTATTTAATCCAAATAAATCTAAAACTATACAAATTTATTTTTCAATTTTTTACATGAAGAATAAAATGAATGAAACTATATGTTCCACATATTTTAAAATTATTTAAATTTTCTCATAAACACATAAAATGTTAGAAAATTTTAGTTTTTAAAAAGATTTATAAGTAAATTATAAATAAAATAATATGTTAAAATAATTATATATATATATATATATATCTATATTTATTTGTAGGTATACATCAATTTGTATAAAGTCGAAACGAATAAGATATCCGACTTTAAATTTTTAGTATTTTTATTTTTAATATTTTTCACAGACGTAGAAATATCCAAATTTTTGGATCGAATCAAATTTTATAAATAAAATACTCATCCCAAATTTTGACATACTAATGATTGTGTTTACGGTTTTTATTGGTAATGTGAATGAGTTCTGTTTATGTCATGGTGTAACACATTGACCAATGTTTTTTGGAGGCTTTGACTTTGTGGGTTAAGACAGCTCATTGTGTTAGCACCCTACCTTTTATCGGGTTTTGAGGTGAACGTTAGAGCACCATTAACGGTAAGTGCTTATTTTGAATTGCTTATTTAAAAGTAGAACTAATCGTAGGCCGCCACGTGTTGGTAGGGTCCGTAAACAGTTAAAACGCTGATGTTTAAATAAGCAAAAGAATCAACCAAGTGGGACCAACCGACTAGTAAACTAATTTTTCTAAGCCCCTCTCCTAAGCTACCTGGTTAAAGATGCCTATTTGTACTTATAGTCTACTGAACCATATACTATGATTTATAAATCAAATCATAATACTTAAATTATGTTACTGTAATCAGTTTTACGATGATACACCTAACTAATTACAAATACAATCCATGCCCACCTCCAGTTTACAAGTTTCCTCTGTATATGATTAAAGGGAATAATGTTATTCAGATGACATAAAAATATGTGATGGGTGATATGGGCTTCTACGGTAGTGTTAACGGTAATAAGTTTGTTTTTTTTTTAACGGGAATAAGTTATATCCTACTTATATGATCAAACACATATTATCATAATCTACAGAAACAAACATTTTTTTTTGTTGGATCATCTGTCCATCTTCCACGATGGTGGTTCCCAGACTCAGACCACCATATTTGGGGCCTGAAACCTTTTTTTTTTTTAACAGCTAATTCATTAAACTTAAAAGTTAAAACGATTACATAGTAGGCCTGAAACCCAAAAACACTGATCTCATCTCTAAAAATATTTTTGTCCTTGAACCGGTACACCAACTAGAGCTGAGAAAAGAAGAATTGAGAGCGAAAGGAACAACGTGAATGTTGCGAGTGATGAATAATAGAAAAATATTGGGCAGGTGGATTATTAGTACGGGATAATAATATAATGAACAAAAAGGCTTTCTATTTTTCAACACTTACTTTCACAGTTCCACTCACTGCTCTACATATAGAGGCTAAAGAACTCACAAGATAATTCACTCCTCTCCTATAAAACTAAACGTTTTCTTTTCTCAAAGCAAGCAAAAAGATCATGGCTGAAGCGTCTACTTTGGTGGGGAAGCTTGAGACAGATGTGGAGATCAAAGCTTCTGCTGGAAAGTTCCATCACATGTTCGCAGGTAGACCACACCATGTGTCCAAAGCAACTCCAGGCAACATTCAGAACTGTGAGCTACACGAGGGCGACTGGGGCAAAGTCGGTTCAATCATCATCTGGAACTACGTTCATGGCAAGCCAACTTTACATTTTTTTTTTTTTTGAAACACATTTTATAAATAAATTATTTTTGTAACACATAAAATCGGTATATAGAACTGAACACATATCACAAATCTTGATTAACAAGTCCATGAGTACTACTACAATAATTACGTTATTTATACATATCTGCTTATTATTTTGAAAGAATATTCACGTTGATTCGTAAAAGTACAAATTTACGTAAATAAAGTTCAACAATTGGTGCAGATGGAGAGGCAAAGGTGGCTAAGGAGAGGATCGAGGCGGTGGAGCCAGAGAAGAACCTGATCACGCTCAGGGTTATAGAAGGTGATCTGTTGAAAGAGTACAAAAGCTTTGCGGCCACAATCCAGGTGACCCCTAAGCATGGAGGGCCTGGTAGTGTTGTGCACTGGCACCTTGAGTACGAGAAAATTAGCGATGAGGTTGCTCACCCTGAAACTTTTCTCCAGTTCTGTGTTGATATCTCAAAAGAGATCGATGAACATCTCTTGAACGAAGAATAGAGGATCACTCCTCGTGTGTGTGTGTGTGGCCTCTTTCAGTATATGATGAAACTGAAATAAATAATGTGCCACTGTTCTAGTTTGGATAAGATATGTTGGTGTGTTTCTAGCATGTATGCATAATACTATGGTCGAGATATGTTTGAAGTTCTTAATTTTAATCGGAGTTTAATAGGAGTCAAGCTACAAGGCTACTTGAAGTTTATTTACCTAAAAAAGTTTTATGCTAGCATAGTAGCATATATCTAATTCGGTTAATAATATGATATTTCATTTTATGTTTCGAAAAATGTATCTACACCTCGCTGCAACCTGATTTAATAAGGAATAAATAATACGGAATGCACCGAGATACAAATGCATATTTTACTTTTTAGTCTCAATAATACTTGTATTTGACATTCAATCAATCTTGCAAAGAACATATACACGCTACACTACCACCACAAGAGCCTAGCTGAAGAGCATATTATATATGAAAACATATGATCAAGTTTTAACCACTACAGACCACAAATACACGGCGACATAGTAGGATTTATAGAAATCAACTACTGTATGCAATGATTTTTTCAAAGAAGAATTAGATAAGGACGAAAAGAGTTTGTTTTATAGTTTCCAGATGCAAGAATGTAAAAAGCAGAAATCAAACATGAGTAAAACTATGAGAAATCTCAGGAAATACAGATGGAATGATATGAGTCCAACATGAAATGTATGAAGAACCGTTCTAGATTTCAATTACTTAATTATACTAGCATATTTATGCATTTTAAACTGTATGTATTAAAATCCTAAAGACTAACTTTCGTTGAATTTAAAATTCTAAACATGAAATAAGATCAAGTTTGATAGATTTACAAATACTTGATGATATCTCATCCATTTTACTTAATACAAATAATCTAAAAAACAACAACACAAAATTGTTCTTAAAATACTTTTCCATGATATATAAAATAAAAAAGATAGAAGAAGTAGTGAAATTATATATTCCGTAAATTTTAAAACTAGTTAAAAATAGAAAAAATTATAGTTGTTATAAAGATTTTATGCTTGATTTAAAATTTTCATAAGGAAAATAATATGAATAGAATTTATTAAATCATATGTTAAATAATAATTATATAATTTTATACATTTAAACTTTGTATTTAATCTAGATATACATGTATTTATCTGTCGGAGTGGAGTGGATATCTACTTTTAAAATTGAGAAAAAAAAATTTCGTTTCACCTAAAGTGTTCCTAATGAGAAAAATGACAAATGTTTCATTAAAAGTAAATATACATTTATATTTTTAGGGTTAATTAATCTAGATTTATGTTTAAATTTGATGAGTGGAGTTTTGGGGTTGCGGTTTAAAATTTTTGTAAATAGATAAAAAAATAGCTTCAAAAATCATTTTTGAATTTCAAAAAGAAAAACAAATTTAATTTTTTTTTTAAAATAGAAAAATTTTATATAATTTGAAAACATATAATTCAAAAACCATAAAAATATTTTAATTTTTGAATATTTGTTTAAACAATTAGTTATATTTATATATCTATAAAGCAATGGTAAACGAATATTTTGCCTCTTTAATGAAATATATTTTGGTCATTTTCCTCTTTGAGAACTCTTATGGAGAATTATTTTTTAAAAAACTATTTGAAAAAAATATCTTTCAAAATTTTAGGATTTATGATTTGCTACATTTTTAATAGATATTGTTTCTTAGGATTTGTTTTACTTCAAAAGTTTATTTATATATGTTCTTTTTGATCAAAATAAAACGAATATCGGATCAAATCAAATTTAACAGATAAAATGTGCAGTCTCTAGCACACGTTAATGGTGTGGTGTTTTGTTATAATAAAAGTACTGGCCTATTCAAATTATTATGATACGATTTTGAATCCGTGACCGCATATGCTTTGGACCACAAAACTATTCATGATATTATTTGAATGAACAAAATATCTCCATTCTTCAACACTTGCTTACTTATTCCTCTATAAATAGAGCATGCTAAAAACTCACAAGACAACTCACTCCTCTCCTAAAATCCTAACCATTTGTTTTCTTAAGAAAGAAAAAAAACCCATGGCAGAACCGTCTAGTTTGCTGGGGAAGCTTGAGATAGAAGTGGAGATCAAAGCTTCGGCTGAAAAGTTCCATCACATGTTCGCCGAGAGACCACACCATATCCCCAAAGCAAGTCCAGGCCACATTAAGGGATGTGATCTGCACGAAGGCGAATGGGGCAAAGTCGGCTCTATCATCGTCTGGAACTACGTTCATGGCAAGTCAAATTTATGCACTTTTTGATAAAACATTCTACTGATTCAAAACTGAAATTATTTAGGACTCATTTGTGAGACATGCAACGAGCACGAAATTTTTATTAGACGGTCACTAAACTATACTACCATTACTGGCTTACAATTTTCAATAACAAGAAAATTCCAACTAAAGAAAACTAAGTTTAAAAAAAAAATTGCCCAAAAAAGAAAAAGAAAACTAATTTTCACAGCAGAAATTAATCTTGCATATATATCACGAGGGGATGCACACTGTAATACCATCATTTGCATACAAAATACATACTTATGATATGTTTTTGAACTACATTCATGTTGATTGTGTCATAATCAAATCCGTGTATATAAATCATGTTAAAACTATAATTGGTGCAGATGGAGAGCCAAAGGTGGCGAAGGACATAATAGAAGCGGTGGATCCGGAGAAGAACCTGTTCAAGATGAGGGTTATAGAAGGTGATCTCATGAAAGAGTACAAGAACTTTGTGTTGACGATCCAGGCAACCCCTAAGCATGAAGGGTCTGGAAGTATTGTGCATTGGCACATTGAGTATGAGAAAATTAGTGAGGAGGTGGCTCACCCTGAGACTCTTGTCCAGCTCCTTACTGAAATGTCCCAAGGGATCGACGAACATCTCTTGACTGAAGAATAGAGGATCACTCCTCGTGTGTGTGTGTATGTGTGTGTTTGCACGCGTCTTAAATATGTTTGTTTAATTATGTCTTTGAAATAAATAATGAGCGGTGGCTGAGTTTGTGTAAGAGATATATGTTGGTGTGCCATGCGTGTTAGTATGCATACTACAATGGTCGTCAGTTATGTTTGAAGTTTTTATTTTGAAGCGATGTTAGTAGAGGAGTATAGCTACAAGGCTTATGTATGCTGTTACCCTCCACGTTGGTTAATAATATTTTAAATTAAAAGTTTGAAAATTTTCCAATATAGAAAGAAGTTAGCCGTATTTGGTTTTGAAATAAAGTTAAAAAAAAAATTAAAGTAAATTTATAAAAACAGCTTTTTCGTTTATTAATTATTTATTATTCAATAATAGTAATTAAATTGTATTTTTCAAAAAAAATAAATAATTGAACTACTATTAGTTAATTTTAGTAAAATTGATAATCATAAAATTTATAGTATATATATATATATATTTTAATGTGTAAGATATTATTTATGTAGAATGGAGAGGGTGAATAAACTGAAACCTAATATTAAATATATATTGAGGAATGAGGAGACATGATGATCTGCTTACAAGTGAGGGAAGAAAACATCCTCTATTTGGTAGACAACCATACCTGCTTGTAGCCCTCTAGATCGCAACTGATTTGTTCTGCCATTTCAAGTGCTATCAATTGGGCGGGTCTACTTTTCTTCTTACAAAGATGTCGAAAACTGAATTCAGAAAAACGCTAGACGTTAAAAATGCATGAGGAGTCTAGACGATCAATTATACGAAACATTTATGTTTTTTGTTTTTTTGGAACATCAAGTTCGTTTTAAAATAAAAGTCCAACACAGGCCTAGACTTTATAAAAGGCACAAACTTTGCAGGTGAGAAAGTTACTAAAATGTTGAACGTTTTATAAGCTGATAATGGTGAGACATCTTCTGTTGTAGCTAGTAATATAAGAAGCAAGCAAGCTCCATCACACTTGTGAGATATATAAATTCTCCACACATGATAGTTTTGTATGTGAATACAACAAAGAAACTATTATATTTATTCTATTAAAATAGAGTCATTCTTTTTATCTACTGATATAAGTTGTCATTTAAATTTGGACCCTTTCTAAAGTGTTACAAATAATACAAGTCATATTGTTGATTGAACCGCATTACTTAAATTAAAGCGGTAGTTATTTATGGAATAAAGTTTTGGGCTTATTTTTGTTTTTATGACAAACTATATAGTTTGAGTTTTGGGCTTAGTATTAAAAAAAACTCCAAAAAAACATTGAATAAATGTTATACCTTAATGGATCAAAAAATCAATTACTATTTTAATACTCAAAAGTATTTAATATTTTAACAAAACAAAATTATATATTATTAATCACTTATTTAAATCATGTACTTTAAAACATGTTAATATTTTTTTTTATTTTAAATAACAATCACTCTGTCTTGATAAATTTCAATGGTAACTTTTATAATAGTTTATTTTTTATTTTTCTTAAATAATTTACTGATTTAAAAAAAAATGTAAAGCAAAACTAAAAACCAAATCTAAAAATTAAAATCCAAAACCAAAAGCTGAAAACGCATGTTATATTTTTGCTTTTGTTTTGTTTATTTACACAAAATAAACTATTGCATTTTTTAAATAAAAATTCTCATATTTTCATTTTTAAATTAGATGTTCGATTCTTTAGGATTTGTTTGTTAGTAATTATGAGTTCAAAATAACTCAGCGGATCTAAAAGCTAATAACTCAAACCAAAAGCTGAAAATCAAAACTAGAAACTTAAAAAGTAAAAACCAAAAACCAAAATCTAAAAATAAAAACTGAAACTAAAAAATTAATGCAAAGCAATCATCACCACAAATTTTGGATTATTGATTTTATACCAAAACATACTTTAAATAAAGACAAAACCTAAATAAATAAACTTTTAATCAAAAAAAATTTCAGGTCAAAATCTAGTATATATATAAACTTGCGTAAATGCTAGATGGTACCATATTCCCATTTAGATTATTCCTCCAAAGACTGAACTTATTTATATAAGCAGAGTTACAAACACATCAAAGATCAACCAACATAAAAAGCGATGGCTCAGATGGGGAAATCCATGATAGAAGTGGAGATCAAAGTGTCAGCTGATAAGATTTTCCAAGCTATTAAGGCTACTTCCCGCAGCGTACCGAAACTATCTCCAGAGAAAATACTTAGCGTGGAAGAGCAACTCGGTGATGACACTAAGAACTGGACTTTGTCCGTCGGTAAATTTTATTTCTCTCCTCTTATTACAGCTCCCATAAAGTAACTCTTTGTATCAATGATATGATGTGGGTTTTGTCTGTAGATGGAAAAGTGGAGAAGAT